ATTGCTTTATCCAGTAGAAAGAGATTTTTCCTTTGGACAGGGTTATCCACCCTTTGAACATCTAGAGCCAGGCTTGTAATGAGAAAATCACGATAACTTATCTCTATAGTTAGCAATTGCTGAATGAGGCTGAGTAGGAGGTGAAGAATCGAGGAGGATGTTATCCACCGAGGTTGAAGGCCTCGCATCTTCCAAATTTGGTCAACGTCAGTTTGTTATGAAGAATTAGCCGGGGGCCTTGAGCCAATCAGAAATGGTGAAATATTTTAAGTGAATGATAACTGCATTGAAACCCCTTTTGCAGGGTTTATTCTACAGCGCGGCCTTGCGGGATTTCCGCAATTTGGAAAAAAATGCCGCATAAAATATACGTTGCCGCGTCAAACGGGGCGCAAAAAAATAGACCCAAGGATAAGTACTATTTTTTGAAATAAAGTATTCAAAAACATTACTGACAACAACACTGATTTGACGGCCGCTCTTTAAACTTACTTCGAACTTTTATAGCCTTTTACTTTCTCAATTGCCTTTCTCTTCTTCGTTTGAGTCATTACTTCACCAGACAAACATCCGGGATTCTGCAGTAATTCGAGCCCAGACTTTTTCAGTTGCCCAGAATGTTCCAAAATGGCGGCAACGCGTCAATAAAGGTTCGTTTACCCGTGGAACAGTCTGCACCAATAAGTTCGAATACATTTTGGGGACCCCCCTTTCATGAAAAAAGGCCCCCTAAAATTACAGAAGGGGGCCCATTTGACCCTCATTGGCCAATTTTTAGAATCAACCCTGCTACTGGTAGCATGACTCTGCCAAGGAATTGCGTTTGACGTTTTAGTTGCTGTATTTGTATCCTTTGCTTACAACCCTGCTGTGTTGTGTTTTGTAGGATGGTAATATCGTAATCAAGAACATTCAATTTGAGGATGGCCCACTTGGACACAGAGAAGTCAGCATTAAATGGAAGGATCTTATATGTTATCAAAGATTAGAGGTGAGTATTTTAGTATTTTTATCATGGATTGCGTGTTTCAATATCTCTTGTAATTTTAAGGTTAAACTTCATGAGTGCAGAATCTAATGCAAATGAGCGAGAACAATAAAATTTTCCTTCTAGTAAAAACCAAAAGTTTACGGAATGTAGGCGACAACGATCGAAGGTCAAAACGCTTTTGCTCCAACGATGTGCTTTGCGCAAGTTCGGCACGTGACAGATGGTCAAAACACGCGTGATCAGTTTATGAGTGATAGAAGGGCCAAACGTGCGTAATGAGCATTCCATTCATTCTAAGTGGAAGTCCAAACGAATGCAAGCTACATACATGCGACGCATGCGTAATAACAACCTGTATATTAGGATTGCGTGCTCCTCTCATCGCCCGCAATTAGCGTTGATTTCGGCACATGTCAGTGAAGTTCGACGTTTAGAACTGGCCTGAGAGAAATCATCACTTGCCCTAATTAGACAAAGGCATGGATAACTTGTCGAAGAGGTTAATAAACTAACAAAATGATGTAATGAACAAGAAAGTTAAATTCTCCCAACTATTTTTATAAGGACTTGTAAAGTACAGTATAGAGTATTTATATGTGGATGTACTTGACTACTCATCTCATCCAGTGTGGCGCGGGTTCATCTGAGGCGGACGGTCATGTTATGTTTGTTGATGCTTCTCTCCCCCGTGGCTGATTCTTTACCGTGTTGCTCCTTCTCTCTCTTGCTTCAAGAGAGCACGGTAGTTTTCCTCTCGCCTCAAAATCCAACAATTGCAAATGGCAATTCGCCAGATGTGTACAAACTAACGAAAGCCTGATATTTTTAAATTTACGCGTAAATTGTATAAACGTTTTAGATTTAGAGGAAGTGCATTCATGTCGTGGTTATTCGTCTACAAATCTTGATCGTATTAGACTGCAAAAGAGTCGGGTTTTTTTTTCTCAAAATCGGTTTAGCGTAGCTTAAGAATCTCACACGCCCGAAGAGCGCAAAACTCACACGGTCTCTCCCCAGTCTTGCTCTCCGTTTTCAGCCTTGCACCAGACCTTTTGTTTGACTGCTTGCGCGTACTTAAATACGCAAAAATACGGACTGTTTTGCAGTCTATGATCGTACGGAAATTTGGAAATGTTGGTTTCCGCAGAGAAGGGAGATCGGAGTACCTGGGGAAAAACCTTTTTGAACAAGGAAAGAACCAACATCAAACTCAACCACTTATGGTCTCGCTTCTGGGACCAGCAACATAAGTGTAAGGCGGGTGGTCTCGTTCTTGCCTTCCACTTGCAGCTTTCTTGGAAAAAGACCCAGATTTTTTTCAAGCGCCAAAGAAGTAAACCTATTTGTGAGGGCAAATTGTCATGAGTCAATTTGAGTTTTTGACCAGACCTAAATTGTTGGTTCATTAATGTTTGGTTTTCAGGTTATTGCAGGCCCACCAGCGAAGCTCAAGATTCTAAAGTTTGATCATTCTGAGGTAGGTATGAAAAACGCGTGTCTTGGACCCAGTGTTTCAGTGTTCCATCTTCAAATTTTGAACACTGAGTTCAATCTATCAATGAGTAAGTCCCAAACCCATTGAAAGAGCGTCCTATTGACGCTTGGAGCTTGGAGCCCCACCTGACATTGGATTAAGAGGCATACGCACATTTCAACCACGACTTCTTTGACTCTTCAACAACACTTTCATGCACAACAGTGTTGTGTATAAAGTCTTTTTCTCTCCTCAGTGAGTTAGGGCGTTTTCCATTTGTCAGAACTGACCGGCCAGCACATTCCCGTCGTAATGAAAGTTTTACTTTTTATGAAAGCTATCCAGCCAGATCAGTCAAATCCTAATAGTATACATGAAGGAAATCGTTTTTCATCAAAATCTCTTGGAAAAAGCCTATTTCATTTTCAAAATGACAGGTCCAGCCATGGTCTGGCCGGCCAGTTCTGACTTTTGGAAAGCACACTAAGTTAGAGTGCTTGTTGAGATTGCCTCGACCTCTGACTTGCTGTAGTACGAAACAACATTGCTTGGAAAGCTTCCTATGCGTTATCAAGCCTGCTCTTGTACAAACTAGAGTTCATGTTGTGATTTGTTTCTACTTGTTTTACAGCCACTTTCGGTGTTTAACGATACCAAGATGCCATTTCCCCTTACTGTTCAACTGTGCGACAAGCTTGAAAACCCTTCAGATGAGCCTAATGTTAAGGTGGTCCTTAATACGGACAGAGGAATTAAGGTGAGAATCTCAGTTTTAATGGTTTGGTCTCCATTTAATAAATGCAGATTCAGTTTCACAACGGCCACTTTTTTAGTCCCAGCGGATAATCCGTACATTGACTCTTGTCTAAACCTCTCTACAACGGCCGCCTCTCAACAACGGTAACGGCCACTAAAGCGTGTTCCCAAATAAGGCGACAGCAACGAGATAGGTTAGATTAGCAAAACAACAACTTTGCACGTGCATCACGCTTTTTTGTACAGTTCTTAGCCGTCGTTGCACGACCACAACGTGAAAGTGCCTAATTTCACGTTTTGTCGAGGACGGGAACACAAGACAACAACTTTCCTTTTCTTTTCCTGAACTTCGATACAATCCTTCAGAATTCGACTCCAAAAAAAATTGCCCACATTTGACGAATTGAAGTGACGTTTTCATAGCCTTCGCTGTCGTTGTTGCGCTCCCTATTAGCTCTCGACAACGGCCAGTTTTTTCAGCAACCGATCATGAAAAAGTCAAGAATGGTCATACAGTTTGATCCTTATGGCGCGTTAGTGATTAATCGCGGCAATCGTATTTTGATTGTCATCCATTTATACTGCTGCAGGGGGTATAAATTGTCTACGATACTTGTCGCGAATGTTGTGAGCCCTGCTTGTTCTGTCAGGTTAACATTTTAATTCAAAGCAATATTCAAGTTTTTTGTGTATTTTATCTCTATGTATTATATATGATTGGATTACCATTATGGAATACAATAAGAATGAACTTAGTAGCGCAATAAACATGTTGTACTCCCTACCACCCCATAACGGCCACTTTCTTCTGTCCCCAAGGTGGCCCTTGTGGAGAGGTTCGACTGTATTATGTAATCTGCGACCTTTTCTTGCACCTACGAAGATCTGGTCGAATGAACTGTTTTTACTACCATATTTTTTTAGCGTTCTATCGATGGTACGTTGTGCACCTGACTATGCAAATTTATATAAATCTGTACAAAATGATGTTTTTCTTGGTAAGAATCTAATTGTGGGCACTTTTATTATTTTATTTTTTTCAGTTGACTCCAGCACCCGCTCAGCAGAAGACGGACAGCAAGGGCCAAGCAACGTTTGGTCAACCTACTGTGAGCGCAACCAAGTAGGTGGAATATGAACATTTCAGTCTTCTTGTGCCCCTGTTCCTGCCTCTTACTTGATAGTTCTTACCCCAGTCCTTAACGAACGTTACTGAGTCAAACAAAAGCTTTCTTTACTTTTTATACCATCTCCTAATCCTGCTACTCGACAATTTGAATTCCCTCTTAATGGACGCCTCTATTAGTGGGACACCTAGGGTTGGTCCCTACCGTTCTTCAGTCATTTTCCTTCGACTCTCAATAAGATGGACACATCTCTAAAAGTTGGTCTCTTTCGTTCTTCATTCATTTTCTTTGATTCTGTATAAGACGGACACCTTAAAACGGACACCTAGAGTTTACTCCTGCCATTCCTCATTCGGACACCGCATTCGGACTACCATTCTTCATATTATTTCTTTGACTCTCTATAAGACGGGCACGCCCCTAAACCGGATACCTAGAGTCTGTCTCCTCCCTTCTTCAGTCATTTTCTTTCAGTTTGACTCTTTAAGACGGACACCTCCCCAAAAAAGAAATCGAGAGTCGGTCACTACCATTCTTCATTTATCTTCCTTGTCTCTCCATAAGACGAACACTTCCCTTAAACAGACTCTAAATGCCGGCATACACTTGGTGCCGATCAAAAAATATCCCTCAGTCGACTTTAAGAGCCCCAACCGTGGCATTTCTTAGGAACAACCTCTTCTTCGGTCATAACTTTTAAGTGTGTAAAATAACTTGGGGTAACGTGTGTTTCGAAATCAGGGGAATGTATGGAATAAGAATCAAAGCTCTTCTTGGAAGAACTGCATTGGATGCGCCTACGATAAGCGTGAGGTAAGTTCTGTGAAGTAGATCAACACACATTTCACAATAACTCAGTGATTTGGTCGAGATATCTGATTTATGAGAGTTTAGACCTCTCAAATGGCTCCAAATGTCTAAAACTTTAGTGGAACTGCGAACTGCACTCCAGTGGTTTCACTGCAGCGTATTAAAGATTTTCACGGTATCTCTGTGGTCTGTAAGAGTATGGACAATGGAAAATTGTTGTTTATTCGCCGAAATATTCAATATTTTGTATCAACAGCGATGTTGAACGTCGCATTTAAAGCAAAAGTAAACGGCAGAGACCATGACCAATTTTCGCGCTATAAATGGGCTATTGAATTCGCTTTTGCTGTTTTTGGAGATAGCTAGTACATCGCTTAGCAGTGAATATAGTACATACGTTAGCGCAAGCGTTGGAAGAAGTCTGATGTGTCAAAGCTACTTGCGGTCGCTCTTCTCAAGTTGGTGCTTTTAATACTGTAATTTCCTGTGGTACCTACCCGCCACGACTAGCTGTACCTATTTGCGGGTAGTTATATCTGTACTTTCATATTCTAATGATAAAGTTGTTGTAGCTGTTATATGTTTTGCATTTCAGAGTGGAGCCTGACCCATCAAAGGCTGTAAATCTTAACGTCACGTTTGATTCTAATGCGCCGTGTGTCGTTGGAGAGTTGTTACCAAGTAAGTGAGACCATTAGATTGATAGTAGTCTGGTAGGACTGTTGCGCAGGCAAGTGTATCCCAAGCAAGCAAACGGGTTTCCAGTTTTGCCGTCAAAACTTGCGCTTTCCATAGGCTGGATTTCCGCCGCTATCTCGGGTCCGGTCGAGGTCGCAAGCTCATTAGGGAGCTTAAGCAACGACGACGGCGACGTCGACGAGAACGGCATAAAACAATAAGGTTTAGATTGGTAAAACGACAACCTTGCGCGTGCGTCAGCCCTTTAGAATTCAACTCCTGAAAAATTAGCCATCATTTGACAAATTAAATAGTTGGGTTAAGAGCAATGAAGTTTGAAACAGTGCGAATTCACTTTTTGGGTGACGTTTTCTCCATCGTTGCCGTCGTCGTTGCTTAAGCTCCCTAGTTACCGAACAGCGACTGATAATCGAGTCTAGACTACGAGTAGTTCCCATTTTTCCTCAGGGATAGTAGAGCGAGCGAAACGCGAGCGCGCGTGAAAATCACCCCACGCGAGAAAAGCGAGACGGGGCTACTGACCGGTCAAGACTGCATTGCAGGTCAAATACTTTGTCTAGTGACTCTGCATTTTAACCATTTAATCCCCAAGAGTGACCAAGATCCATTTTGTCCTAACAATATCAACACATAATCAAGAGAAACGGTTATGAGAATTTATATAATGATCAACTAAGGGAAAATGCTTTGATTTTTTCTCCACTTTCAGCAGCATCTGACTGATATTAGCTATAGGGAATTCTCATCAAAAACGGAAAGTGATTTGCAAGGACTTGTTCGATTAGCACCTTCTGGGATTTCAGACTTACAGGGTGGCAATTCTCCCAACTAAGTCTTAAGGGAAATGTATGGAGATCAGTCTGGAGAATTTGTGGGTGGATATCGAAGTTTAGTACAATTGGCTATGTCTTTCTAAGCATTGCGCTCAGCATTGTGTGACCAAATTCCAGGTGTTTGGAGATCAATAGGATTTTACTTTAACCTGAATCTGAGTTCTACCATACAAATTCAACTTTAAAGCAGTTTGGCTACGTAAGGACATTGATATATTGAACACTTTTAACTGAAAATTTGATTGACTCATTCCTTGGGTGGGTGTTAGCATAAGAGGTTCAGGTTGGGGGATGTTTTGTTCCCCAAACAAACCTACTGTCCTGCGTTTCAGCTGTTTCAGCCCATGTCGTTGGAGAGGACGAGGCTGTAATGAAAGCAGCAAGTGCTAAGGACATAGTGTTGAAGATATGGCACTCTAAGGACGGTCCAGTATCAGACAAGCCGCCAGCCAGGGTATGTTATACAAGCCTGTTTTCTTTCACATCACATAGTAACTGGGTTTCACAATACATACACTGTAAGTGTCAAGATTCTTAGGCACTAACTAGCCGAGAGCCATTGTCCAGGGCTGTCACCAAGATTTCAAGTTGACGTTATATGCAATCAGTAGGCGGGAAATTGAACTTCAAGGAAATCGTTATGTCCTAGTTTCCTTTTGTTTCGTATGGGAAGTGCCGGATCCAGACCTTGAGATGGGGGGGGGGGGGGGTGGTCATCCAGACCCTTAGATAAGAGGGGGGGCGGTCTCTCAAAAAGTTTTTTTTGGCCCTTCGGGCCTCAGTTTGGTCCAAAAATATGGGAAGGGCGGAGGGTGGGGGTTGGGGGGTGGTCGGGCCCCCGGGTCCCTCCCCTGGATCCACCACTGCCGGGGATAATGTTTATAGTATCCGGAGAAAATCCCCTGCATTTTCCTCTTAGCATATCCACATCAGAAGGGATTGGTTACGACTCAGAAGTGGTAAAATGACTGGCCTATTGTTGATAACCTAAACTGTTATCGTACTGAGGTCACAACGGTGTAGCACAATGCCGCTGTTAATTGAAACCACCAAGGCTTAACATTTTACTTATATTGTAATTTTGTTAAGGCCACAACGTTGTACCCATCAAAGCGGAAGTTAACGGATAAAGATGGAGAATTCTACTTCAGGTAATAATAATAAGAAGAATACGAATAAATATGATAATATAATATGTATATTGCGCATATACAATGAATGCGCATTACAAACGGTGAAATAAAAATAAGTCGATTAAAAGCTATCTTAAAAAAGTACGTTTTGAGGGCTGTCTTGAAAGATGTAAGGCTCTGAATGTTTCTTATCTACGCCGGAAGACTGTTTCACAGTTTGGGAGCTGCCGACTGAAAGGCTCGGTCGCCAAGTCAGTTGGTAGACACAGTGCGTTGGCCGGTACCAACAAAGTCGCATTCTTGGACCTAAGGGTGCTTTCCATTTGTCAGAACTGACCGACCAGACCATTCCCGTAGTAATGACAATTTCACTTTTAATCAAAAATATCCAGCTAGATATAGTTTGCACGAAGGAGATGGTTTTTCAGCAAAAACTCTTGGAAAAAGCTTATTGCTTTGTCAAAATGACTGGTCCGGCCAGGGTCCAGCCGGTCGGCTCTGACTTTTGGAAAGCGTCCTAAGATTATTTATATCTTGACTGGGCAGCGACCGCAATAATATCAACTGAAGTAATAACTATGGTTGATTGAGTAGTTTTCAAAGGAAGCAATGCAATTTTTTTTCGTGAATTATCTTATAACCATATATTGTAAACTGCACTCACTAGGGACCTCAAAGTACCAGATATGTCAGGTGTCTATTGTATGGTAGTCCAGTTTGGATCTGCAGGAGCAGCCACACTCTCTAGTAAACCGGTGAGAGCATTGTTTGTTTTACGTGGAGTCTTCATTACTAGTTACTTCTTGCACAAACCCTTATTCTATTAGTAATAACATTACTTTGAAGAGAACTTGAATTTTTATTTGTAAATTTCTATTTGTTGTCTGCAACGTTAGGAAGAGCTACCTTCAGCGAAACACACCGAATACCACCTTGTGGTCTTTTTGTTGTCTGCAACGTAAGGAAGAGCTAACTTGAGCACAACACACCAAATACCAATCTGGCATCAGCTTACGACAGTCGTTTCCGATTAGTACAGTAGCTCTTCCAGACCTCTATTTTGATTGGCCCTAATAATCAGTAGCTTCTTTTGTTTTAGAGCTAGGGGTATTGTTTGTGTTGAATCATCTGTTGTTTCGTTCTGCAATCACAGACCATGTCTGAAAAGCTACTGACCTTCTTCCCTTCCATTGCACCTTAAACCTGTTCACTTACGAAGAAGCACTTCCGTTTAGCGGCCTATTTTACAGAAGATTCATTTCATTTTTGTACAAGTTAATCAGTTTTCTTACCTGTAAAAGAATATGTGGAGGAGAGTTGTGTTTAGAAATGCATACTACCCAACGTTCGAAGAGTTCGTTGGCCTCGTCAGCTAAATACCTTCCCAATTCTTAATGATAGTGAGAGCCAACTATGTTTGTTAACATAGTTTCACTTACTTCCTCTTGCAGATCACATTCACAGCAAAGGCTGGTCTCCCTGTGAAGCTTGAACCAGAGACGATGCCTGCGACTCCTACTCCAACACTCAAAGGACCAACAGCCGAACCCTGGTGAAGACACTCAAGTTGCAACTTAAGGTACTAATATTTACTGTTTTTGGTTGTGTTCTCTCCTCATTGTAATGCAAAAATGGTCCCACATCTTCTGTTACCAGTTACCAGTTCTTTGCGACGTCGTGCGTATAATTGTAGGCCAGCGTTGGTGAGCATTAACTCTGTAGAGAAACTGGTTTGTGTAAACTTTGGGAAAAGAGTTGCAGAGTTGGTTGCCTGCAAAGATTTCGTCCGTAGTTTACTAGTCATGATTTCAGCAGCACTGCTACTTTGAAGATGAGTAGCAAATCGCTGAAAATGAGCAAAAGAATAGAAAAAAATAAACAACAAAAAGATGAGTCCATTGACGGCGTCAGTGAAGCGTATCACGAAGGCGATGACGATTATGTCACCAAGAAGGACGTTTACAAAGTGATGAAAGTGCAAGAGTCGATGTCTCGTAATTTGTTTGAATCCATGTTGACCAGTGTTAACAATAGAAGTGATGGTGTGATCAAAGACCTGGCAGAATTGAAATCAAGTATTCGTATCACCACAATCTTCTGTCTAGTAGCTTTCGCAACCTCTTTTTAAGTAATAGTCATGTTCACCATTGTAAAACTCGACTAGTCTTTCAGCATAGACCTCATTTCTGTAGAACTAATATCAAGCAGTTCAGTATCCTTTATCGAGGACCAACAATCTGGAATTCGTTGCCAATTTCACTAACCAGCTCTTCTTCCATATTTCCATATACGTTTTTTGTTGGTTGGTTTGTTTGTTTATGTTTTGGATTTAACATAACGAACGTAGGGCATTTTTCTCTTTTCTGATCTGAAACCAACTAATGTTGCAGCTCTCGTTAGTTGCTGATCTCTAAACAACGTTAAAAAACCCTCAGCATGCATAATTAAAGGTCCATTTCAATATTCAAGATTGCTTGATACACATTTGTTGAAGAACAGCTCAAACATTTGTTGACCAGCAAAGTGGCCTTAGGCAGCCTTGAGACAAGATTGCTCACTCTGCTTTTTGCTTTAGGACAAATTTGATAACCTGACTGGTGAGAATCTGAAAGGAAAGGTGGTTGTCAAGGTAACAACACCATCAGAAGGCATTGACGAGATCCCTGCTCTGACTCGAAATGTGTACTCCTTGGAGGTACCCCTGGTCAAGGGCGTGGCCACTGTACAGAACCTCCTTATTCAAGAGAACACTGCAGGCAAAGACGGACAGGAATACCTGCTGAACTTTCACACTCAGATTCCTCCTAATTCTTCGCCTCATCCTATTCCCGTGTTTACATTGGCATTCTTGTTTTACAATGGCAAGTACCCTTCGGTTTCATGTAGTGCTGACTTTCTTCTTCATGATTAAGGGCCTGTTTACATTGAGGCGGGGGACCCCAGGTAGGTGAGGTAACCTGCTTAGGTGGGGTAACCCGCCTGTCCATATAATCTCTCATTTTAATTTGATCACGTTTACATGATAAGTGGGGTGACCCGCCGCATGTTACCTCACCTATCTGAGATCTCCCACCTCCATGTAAACAGGCCTTAACTTAAAGGATATCCGATAATGTGCTTGTTCGTTGTGTGACTTTTTTGTTTGGTGAATAGCAAATACACTGCGGTTTTCTGTGGTGCTAATTTTCCCATCCCTTATAAATATTAACATAAAATAACAAGTGCCCGTTCTTTCTGCGCAGGCTTGTCACTAAGATTTCAAGTTACCGGGTAAATACAACAAGTAGGCGGGAAATCAAACAGCTAGGGATTTCGTTTGGTTCTATTTTTCTTCTCTTTTCCAATGAAAGTAGCTGGCGGCCACATTCATAGCAGCTGGGGGAAATCCCTGGCCCCTGGCTCTTAGTGGCAGCCCCGCTGCGACCTGGTTTTGTTTACAGTGGCAGGTACACTTCGGTTTCCTGTAAAAAAAAAACTATTAAATTCCTATTTCCCTCTTCTTGATTAACTTTAAAAAAACTTCTTTTTGTTTGTTCAACCTTTTGTTTTAGAATGGCAAGTACACTTCGGTTCTTATAAAGAAGTGTCTAATTTCCACTCATTGATTAACGTATCTGCTTATTCGTCGTTTGACCTCTCTAAATCACTTCCTTTTACTTGCTTTCCACCTTGTTAGGTATTTTGTTAACTAACACAACATATTTCATAAACAGTACTATACTTTTTTGCTTTTAGATGTGAGGAAACAGCAACAGATGGCTCAGCTGACAAAAGAAAGAGATCACTTATTTGAGACGATACGCACCTACCGGCTTCTTTTTGAAACTACGCGACAACTCATTAACGAGATGCAAGGTTGGTGGCTTATTTTTGGTTCTTTGCAGTCGACCACATTAACATTCGCCCACAGAGGGAGTGAGACGCAATAATTTTGTCTTATCCTCAAAGTCTCGAGAGTAACTAACATCAATTTTCTCCTAACAATATCCTTGCACAATCAAAAGAAAAGGTTATGAGAAATAATAAAATGATCATCAAAATGAAAATGCTTTGATTTTTATCAAATTCTCTCAACTAATTCTGTAAGGAAATATATGGAGATCTGTAGAGAGAATTCTTATGTGGATATTGGGACTTAAAAGATTACTCATTAAGTCAATGTTCCTCCATAAAAAGATTCAAAAGCTGACGCATTAAGTGCTAGCCCGTCATCAGAGCGAATTGAAACTTGATAACACCAGCTTTTTTTAAAGATTTGAACAACCAATTTTATAATTGAACCATAACCTTTATTTTTGTACTTTACAGTGTCAGTGCATGAAGCTTCTTTACAAGAACAGAAGCTGAGAGGAGAACTCAGAAAACAAAACATCCCTGCAAGCAGCTTAGCATCGGTAAGGAGTAATCCTGGTACAGGATCGAGCCACCCTAAGGGAGTAGTTAGAGTACCAAGCTCAAGTCCAGAGGTCGCTGTTTTCGGTTTAACCAGAGGTCCCCTCTTTTCCACAGAGGCCTAGCGGAGAGTAGAACACAGGGGAGAAAACGTACGTGGTGTATGCTGGGAAGGGGAAGAGAGGAAGCGAGGTTTCCGCCATTTTTCTTTCCTTCGTTCACACGACAGCACTTTCGTGTTATAACAGAAGTTATGTTCTTGTCGTCGGAGCTTCTGTGAGGGAAATATGAGGTGCATATGTAGCCACACGGCACTGGCTGGTTTTGATTAAAGTTGGATCTGAGTTCAACTCCTTGGCCATGCCTGTTGGTGCCTCTGAAGCTTTTACGTTTACTTTCGTTTTCTTATTTAGACGAAGTGCTAGAAAGTTGTGGATGATGCCTCATTTTGTTACCGTGCATACGTCACACGTTTTGCATATTACCGGAAGGTCTCATTTTGTAAAAATCAATTCGCACCATAGATTAGTATTGTTAAATATCCGTTTCATTTGAATGGTCACATCATAGCTCTGGGAGTGAAAGAGTTAATCACTAGAGAGCTTTAGATTTGAGGAGGAGAACGAGTATGAGTATGAGATTTAACATAAAGTTTCAGAATCTAAGCCCTCTACTGCTTGTTTGTTCTTAGCCATCAGCTGTGACTACATTGATAGATGAAATGTCAAAAAAGAGAGATCAGATCGCTATTACTCCTCGCCGACAGTGTCTACTTCACCCTGGACCCCGTGGAGACTCTGGTATTCTGGGAAAGGTTTGTTCAGTTTACTTTTCGATGAGTTCACACTATGCTTTAGTCTGACAATTTTTTTCCCTTTTTCTAAAGCCATAGCAAAGAGTGATTTATAATAACCGTTATGCATGTTTACGTCAGACGAGTATATTTCACCACCCAGCCTCGTTTTGAAGTTGAAAAGTTGCCAAGTTGTGCATAAATGAATTCCCAGGGCAGAAAAGTTGAAAAGAATATTCACGCCCAAAGGGTGCAAATGCAAACAGTTTTGTTTACAAACGAGGTTTGGTGAAATTTGCTCGACTGACGTAATTATGCAACTTCAAATCTTAGTGACAGCCCTGACCTCGGTAATGAAGACACTTGGCTCTACCTCGTCGGTATACTTTTGTTGCGTGTTAGCGCTAACGCTGTTCTCTGTTCCCCCTGCAGGTAGCTCATTTAGCTCAAGTGGTAGATGACGACGTTGCGCGAGTACTGTCGTGGCACATGGCATCCGATATGGACTGTGTCGTTACTCTCACGACAGAAAAGGTTCGTCCGTAGACTTTCAAAAAAGTCCTTTTTCCGATTTAATATGGCGCGGGACGAAGGTCGACCTTTCGCGACTTCGTCGTACGCTTGGTCGCTTGCTAAGACCCTCGTCCTGTCGACTTCTAGCAAGTCTAGTTCGTTCCCTAAACCTCGTGTTTTGCCTGCTGTGCTTTTCGCTCATCATAAATTCTCTCCCCTTTTGGGTAGCTAGTATGTACGTAAGTTATGCTGTTCCGCTCTATCCTATTCTACTAGACCTGTCGTTTTGTGCTCTGTAGGGTGTATTTTTTATTGCTGACAAGCGTTTGCGAGGTAGCAATACTATTGTTTGTGTAGCGAAAAAATTCAATTTTCTAGTATTCTTTGTGTAGCGGCAAATTCAATTTGTGTCGGATGTAAGATCACCCGCGAACACACTTGGTCATGACTATCTTAGAGGTCTTCTTATATGACGTAGTATATCCGTACAGCGCTCGATTGAATGTTCAAGTTCCTGACAAACGGACAATCTTGCCTGTTTAAACTGTCGAATTCTTTTTCTTTTCCTCCGGTATTAATAAAATCAATCGAGTTAAAGGCTTCCGTGTTACCTCAGGAATGAACCGTAACTTAAGTATTTGCCTTACTGGTCGAAAGCACACTGATTTCATGAGCGAATGTTTTACATCAACGGGCAAAGTCAACGACTAATATTTTGGCACAAAACTGTAAATTCCTCTGCTGCTTACTTCCTGGTAATAATTATTACTGTCTCACTTCCATGACCTCCACACAAGTCCTTTTGTAGCTCTCTAAAATAACCAGTAACATTTAACTAGTTTTTTGTCACTTTTTGAATAACACGGGTGACTGTTTATTTTCAGGCAAAACAAGTGTATCGCGACTCTAATGGCCAGCAACAAGTGCTACCCTTGGATTCTATCTTCAGACGTAGTTTACCAGAATGGAATAGGTACAGACCAAATTAAACCCAGTTATCATAGACGCTGTGTCTCTCAGGAGTTTTCAAACCCAAACCTGCTTAACAATTTTACACCATAAATCCTCTATTAAGACCCCCCTCTCAAATAAGCCCCCCTCACTAATAGGCCTCTCCTTTTCAGAGAAAGAAAGTTAATAAGCCCCCTTCTCTTTAAGCCTCCATCCCCCCCCCTCCGCTTATTATTCTTCATTATTTTAATGATAGACTGTATTAATCAGTCACGACAGTAAAACATGGTGTGGACTGATCCAGGACGGTTTATTTACCAACTAGAAGTTCGGAATTGTTATTGATTTTCGGCTGCATGACTCCAACGTCTTGTACTGGAACTTTTCCTCTTTGTATTCTAGTTCTTTATGGTAAACTGATACCATCGTTTCTTCTTAATTAGATAACCCCCTCTCTCTAACCCCCCCCCCACCTCAAATGGGCTTGAAATAAATAAGCCCCCAAAGGGCTTTAATTGAGGATTTACGGTAAGTTGGTTTTTTTTTTTTTTAACCCAAAGAAAATTCAGGGAGTGCTCAAGTAGTGCCGATCAAGTTTATAAAATTTCCTGCCCGGTTTTATGAGTTACTCTACTACATTAAACTGTAATATACTGTTATCTGCAGGTTTAACCTGGCTTACACTCTCATTCATTCGCGTAGTCAGTTGTGATGTCATATAATGGTGATCTATCTTTTGAATCTTTAGGCGAATTCATATAGAACCCTCTATTTCGGTAGGACCCTATGCGTGATTTTTCGTTCCTGAATTTGTGAAAATTAGACTATTAACCCCAAGTGCATTAGAAAAAGTTAGCAATGCTTGCAGACATGTCAGCAGTGGCCTGTGAATATGCTAGTGAGCACGCTCAAGAATTTTCCAGTGGCCTCAGAGTTTTAAGCCTGTAGCGTAGCTTAGCAATGAGTAGCCATTAATACTGACTGTTAATTTTAGAGCTCTTCCACATATACGAGGTCAGGGCAGTTACAATCCGTCTGGTAACCCTGTGTACGCAAGAGATATGTTGATGTTTCCAACAGAGGCGGAAAATTGCAAGCTAGGTAATACGAATGTGTATGCAAGAGTACTTATTGTAGGGCCTGTGCGACAATAGACCATTAGATAATCATTAGCCTGCTCTATGTTCTCTAGTTTAAAAACAACTGTTGGGCCAACGCTCGAGAGGCGCCGGCGGAATCTCATGCGCGAGTGGCAAGCAGATTGCCTCATTCGATAAGTTCTTGAATGGATAACTTCTCTAAGGCCAAGGTAATTTGCTTGAAAGAAGGCAGTGCTGAGGGACGTTGAATAGAAATGAATTTTCTGTTTAGGAAGGTGAACGTTTCGCTAACCCGTTGTCAAAGAGATACCCATTGGTGGAGCTCCGTGATTAGTTGCAACAAGCTAGCGTAAGCGGCAAGAATCAGTTACATGCTCCCCCCTCCCCCAAATTAGCCGGACGACAGTTTCTCCAAACAGGCAGCTAAACATTGGCTAGTATAGGGTACAAATACGTTAAACCCAGGAAACAGTCCCCCTTAATGCACAACATCCACTTCCCGTTTGTTGACATTTCCAGTGATTCCACGCTCAGAGGTAGAAATAACTTTGTCAAGATACATTGTTATGGGTTTAGGGGTGCTTCGATGTCGGTAACAGACCGAAGCCCCGAGTCACTTTCACCAGAAATTACACTAGAAACGTCTTTGCTGTCCGGGGTATACAAAGGTCTTCGTGACTGTCAAAAATTTTCCTCAAACTCAATAACAAATAAATGTATCGAGAAAACAGGCAAATTCTATACCATGAATTGCGACACCTAAATCAAACACTCGAAAGAGTTTTTCATTTGGAATCCAAATAACCTTGACGTCACTATGCCTCATTTTTCAACTCACTTCTCGTTTTCTGCCCTAGGGGGTACTCCCTATAATGGCCTATACGGAGAGACTCCGCCCGAAAGGGGTACCTTTTTCAGACTTCAGGTATATGGAAGGGTTGGGATTTTACCAGTTGAATTATATGAAAGTGGTGGGAAATCTGTCATTTGGGCCTGTGAATGGGCTCAAAGGGCTGAGCAGATGAATTTCAGTGTTATGGCTTTATAAAGTCGGGAAAACGTTCTATTTTTGTGATTGATTCCTACTTAAAGGACAATGCATTTGCAGCAGTTAAAAAGGGGTACCTTTTTCGTGAAAAATGGTATATAAAAGGGTAAGGGGTTGGACTTTGGGGCGTAGCCTCCCCGTATAAAAATTTGTTGAGTACGCCCCCAGGATTTTCTGCATGTTTTTTGAAACTTTCCTCGGGTTTGATTCATTGCTTGTCTCATTGCAGTGTTCGGTATGTTACTGGGTGATACACTGATCCTAGATGACCTGGACTGTGCAAATAAATACAGACAACAGGTGAGTACACTTGTTGTTAATGCATTTAAAGGTGATGTTACATCGGACGATTCGCAGCAACGATTTTTAGCGCTAGACAGCGTTGCAACATTGTTGTGACATTGATTCAAATGGTTGCAACGTTGTTCCAACATTGCCGGCAATGCTGTGCCACGGCTGGCTATTTCATGTTGTTAATATTGCCAATTAAGCGTCCTTGTGCGCAATGAAACTAAACGTAAGGGGAAAAATTTTCTTGTAAACGACAAAATCACAGCTTCTCGTCAAATAAATGTCTCTCAAGCATTATAGGAAATGTTAAATACGAGCAAAATGAACTTTGGAAACTGTTAGGCTAACAAGTTTTCAAAAATCGGTAATTGCAATCCGTTTTAGTCTTCCTCAGCTGAGTTTGTCCGCCCCTGCCTCTTTTTATATTTGCTGTGCTATTAATGCTTTGTTTATTAAATGTTTTGAGCGGTTACGGTATTTTTATGTTTCACTCAATTTGGTGGCGGTTTCTACTGTTAGAATTTTGATACGTAATTCATGACTCAGCTCCTTTAACATCAATGTACTAGTGACGACGTGACATTTTTACATTTAGCCTGTTCAAAACTGGCCGGATTTTTACGTACTATCCCCACATTCAAACAATAGCTCGGATTTTAAGGCTCGGAGAGGGTTGAATCCACACCAGGCTCCAGGCTACCGTCCAGTGGATAACTCAATTGGTTTCCCTTATACCTATTCGCTAGACAGAGATTTATCCCGTAGATAGCGCTGTCCAACGTTTGAACGACGATGGGGCGGGTTTTTCGAGCCTTTAAGCTAATTGCAAAATTACAGACATAGCTGTGGCTTTGAGATAAAGCCACTAACAGACGACTGCAATGCAATAAAGAAAACTATTGATTTACGCCTGACTATAGTGAACTTAACCAAGGACGTTTTAGAGCGACACGCACCAACCAGAAGTGGCTGTTTTGCATCATTGGTCAGCAGTTTTTTCCCAAATTAAATTTCTGGCAATTCGTCTCAGTAAGAGTAAAGATACCGTATTTATTCGATTAACCTGCCCTGGGCGCTTATTAAATTTTCACCATTTTCAGCAAGTCAAGTACGTTTATTTTTTGCAACAAACAATAAATGGTAATAACAAAACGCGAAGATGTAACAAAGTAAGGTCTCTGTAAAATGCTCTGAAGAAAACTTCGTCTTCGGGGAAGTCTCTTATTAGTACTTATTCAATTTCAATTTCAATCTCATTGTCACTCAAGTCAATAAGTGAATTCTCTGGTGCTGCCTCCTCGATGTCCGACATCGGGGAGTGGAGTGGGGGTGGGCGCTAATTTGAGGTTGGGCGCTTATTCGAATAAATACGGACTTAACAAGGCACATTTGTTAGCGTCAAGGTAATGAGAAAAGGCTTCACTTCCGGTTGACGTGTTACGTCCAGAAATGTCTTTGCTTAAACTCCCTTGTGTATTGTTATGATGTAGGTTGTAAAGCACACTCATTGTCCTACGATTCTTACAAGAGGAGGAGATCGCATCAGAAGTAACGGTAAGTTATTGAGCCCATTAACCTTTAAGTGACTAGTGTTTAAGATTTCTCCTTATTCTTACACTGTTCAGTCAAACATAAATATCGATAACATGCTGAGCTGGCAGGTCGCGCAATATCACGTGATCATGGAATGACGCAATGGTGAGGTAGAATTTCTCCTTATTCTTACACTGTTCAGTCAAACATAAATACCGTGAGAAAAAAAGCACATGATCAGCAAGTGAAAAAGGTCTTGATTACGCAGGATATGCGTGGAGAACGTTGTGGAGAATGTTTGTATTAATTTTAGGGTTTAAAGGGTCGCACCAATCCCCGTGATACTGTTTCTTCTAGTGAGAATTTTAATCTCGATTGTTTTGCTCTCTTGCAAAGGTAAATTCGGCGGACTGCAGAACAAAGCTCCTCCTCTTGAGAGAATGCGCGGCGCAGTGTTCGCTGCGCCTCTTCCGCTGACATTCCATTCACTGACAACGCAGATTGGTGAGTGACAACTAAAGCTCTTCTCATTTTTCACCGCCAATGTATAACTCCAACATTGCTGCTAATGTTTTTCTTTATTCATTATGTTGTCAGAACAACTACAAGCTTTTAAACAAGCCGTTATCAAACACACACAAGCCAAGGAAGAACTTTCGGTAAGCTTAAAGAAGCGCATCGCATTGGTTTTTTTTTCCTTTCGTACACAAATCCACCCTGCTGTCAGTCTTCTTTTCTTGGGAGCGGATGAGAAGGAGAAGTTCTGCCTGAATCGCGTCGAGTCTTGTTTTAACCCTTTAAGTCCCAAAAGTGACCAACGTCATTTTTCTCCTAACAATATCCGTATATTGTCATAAGATGAGGTTATGAGAATTAATAAAATGATCGCCAAAGAAAAATGCCATGATCATTTATTGAATTCTCTCAACTTATTCTTAAAGGAAATGTATGGAGATCACTTTGGAGAATTTGTATGTGTATATTAATTGGGGCTTAGAGGGTTAAGGCCGCTTTCCTTCTTATCGTATAGGTGAGCGCGACCCCATAACTTAAAGATTTGAATCCGCTTTCACTACTTTTCTGTTCAGCTCGCCAGTTTATTTTCAAAACAAATCGTTGGTAACGGTTAGCTGATTTACGAATTTGATCTTGGAGCATTTGAAGGGAACACTTTCTCTATCTCCTTTCTCTAACAGCTGCAGCTACAGCACGGACAAACGGAGGAGATGAAAATTAAACACCGGGAATGCAGAGAGGCTGAAACCCAGTTACGCATGATTGAGGAGCGTTTGGGCATGACTCCGACCCAGTACAATATGCCTCCCAGTCCGGCCACTATGCTGCTGACAGAAATCAACACTCCACCTACAAGAACAGCTACCTCGCGTCGCTCCAGCGCACGAGCTGCGGCTGCGGCTACCGCTTCTCCGACCTTATCGACTCCGGTCGTAAATGGTTCGAGCAACGCATCGGGAAACACAACTTCTCCGCGAACGAGGCGAGGTGCTGCGATCTCCCCTGAAGATGTAAGAACCAGTAAACGAACGCGCCGATGAACAGAATGCAACTTAAAATAGTTATGCTGTAGGTTGACACTACTTTAAACATGCCGCAGTGGATTTACAGTCAAAACCTTAAAGAACTTGTAAACATGATTTTGTGGTACCGATTATTTCTTAAACGAGGAAAGCCCGCCATGGAAGATGCTTCGCTATATTGTGCCATGCTTTAAAACTTGGTCTTCGTGGTCATTTAATTTTACGGCTTTCCTTGTAAACGATCTACTGACTGAAAAACTGTACCTCTGAAGACTATGAGGAGATTCCACTTCTTTACAGATTGTAACAATTTTCACTTTGCTACTGTATCTATGTTTTCACACCCTCCTTCTAGAAGTTTATCATTATACGTGCTTTTAAAATTTACTTTGAGAACTTAGCGTAAAATTGACATTGGGCTCTGATTCTCTTTCATGCCGGATTATCTCCCGAAACTAAACCAAAAGTGGAGCCGACGTTTTCCAAGTTTACTCCATCTTCTTCAGTCTTGACTATACAGGTCCTATCTGAGGTTGAAGAGGATACGTGATGTTTTTTTTTTTTTTTTTATCTCTTGGTTTTAGCTAAAAATTGCCTAAAATTGCATGACATTGCGCTTTTATATTGGAGACCTTAAGATCGGAGTGTTTTGGCATTTCCGGCTAACCGCGAACGTCAAGAAGTCACGTGACCAGCGCCCTGCCGTCAGAATTTGGGGTTTGAGGTTCACATTTGTACGGCATGAGCACGCTCTAGGGTTAAGTGATTTACTGCAAGGATTTTTGCACCCCAAAACATTCCAATCCCGCGTTTGAGAGGAAATACTACTTTCTGGAACTCTTTTGCTTATTAATCATCCAATTCGTTTTCATAGGAACGTATTTTTGAAGACAATTTCTGAGCTAAAATAGTTTGCCGTTTGCAGTAAGATGGCCAAACCTCGATCTTAAGGTCTCTATTCTTAATTTCAATTTGACTGAAATTCAGTTCAATAGTCTTACTTAACCTTACTACATCCTACACGCCACTAATTTATCTTCGTGTTAAAAGGAATTACGGTATTAAAAGGTACTTTTTACCTCAAAGTACAGTATGAGATTAGTGGCAAATGAATGTTGAGAAATTGTCCGTTTACTAGTTCGGTGTTACGTTGAATGACAATTGCCGTTTTCATACTGGAGACGGATTATCCGTCTAGATGTGAAAACGAGACGATAAACGTATTCACGCTAGAGACGGATTATCCGTCTGAGACGAATTATCCCGTTGGATAATTCGCGTCAGATAGATAATACGTCGTAATTTGAAAATGGACCGGTCTTAATTTTGCATGGACAATCCGCCTGACTTTATCCGTATGTTTTTCCGTCAATTTGACGGATTTTGAAGATGGATTATCCGTCTCAGACGAATAATCCATCTCAGGTGTAAAAAAGGCCGTTGTTCCGTTGGACGGATAATTCGTCTGACTTTATTCGCCTTTTTAGACGGATTATTCGTCTCGAATTCACACTAGACGGATAAAGTCATCCCATTTTTTCTGCCCACTCTCGTCCCCAGTGTCTTCTCGCTTTTCCAAAGACACTGGGACTTCAGGGCGGAAAAACGTTCTGCGCAAGCTTCTGCGCATCCCTTATCGCAGGCTCAAGGCGGGCTTTTCTGTGTGTTTTTTTTGTTGCTGGAGTTCTGAGTGAAATGCACGAGGTGCGAACGTTTGCTCCCTGTAAAGCATTTTTATTTGACATGTTTGCTCTTTTTTCGTTGCTTGAAAATTACTTTGGATTCAAAAAAACCAATGTTAAAGGAAAAACGGATCATTCCGTCTGTCTGAAGTGGAATAAAAGGTTTTGAACATTTCTTACGAGGCGAGTATTTTTCTGATTGTGCATCCGATTAATTTATGAGTTGATTTCGCCGGGTTGAATTAAAACCCGCTTGTATTCTGTTATTAGTAGTTACGGTTGCTTTTTTTACACGCCCAGATTTATTACCTTTGTAGAACCAGCTTTATCTTTGTCTTCAGTCAAAGAACCATCATTGCTGTTAGAACGCATCAGAGTGAACAAACTTGTCCGCTTATTAAACTTTCTCGAAAATAGAAGGCCAGCAAGCTTACTCAAGATCATTTTTCTGTTGCTCAAGTAATAATAGTCAGAGTTTTTTCATTTTTCATTACATAGTTTTGTTTTGCAGTGCACTGTGAAAGTTTCTGTTCTTTATAAGAATAACTTTCTGTACGCAAATTGTCCAGTTCACTCGCTGTGAAGTAGAGAACGATAACTGCCGGCAGTGACTTCAAAACAATTGACTCTTTTCCCGTAAACAATCCCTGCAGCTTGAATTGACTGAGGCGAGCAAAACAAACCCTTATGTGCAATCTTCTGTATTTTCTAATGATCGGCTGAGTTTAATTTGCTTAAACGAAGACCCTTGCATGGGCCAGTTGAGCGTATTGAAAATAGCTAAATTGTGAATCATGGCTTGGCTGCCAAGTTGCAAGTGATCTTTTGCTTTTAAGATCTTTAGGTAGGTTGTTTTGGCACAGAAAATTCATTTCTTCATTGTCAGCAACAGGTTTTTGAAATAATGTAACTTTAACTTTGTTTGAACGAAATCCTACTTACGCGTAGGTTTTTGACAGATGTTATGCGTGTTCAACTGGACAACACAAAGCAAAAAAATATGTATCTGCGCGAAACGAGCAAGTTTAAAAAACTATAGTTGCTTTGAAACCGATTTTTGGGAAGATTTTACTGGATAAAGATTGACCTTTTTTCTGCCCACATATCAACGCAATAACTTCTACATTGAGGATTTTGTTTATATTTTAGTGATCTGCGAAACTACGAGTGTCCGATCGAGCGAGGGTTTTAAAATGGCAGCTCGAGTGCGGCAAAGTTCAGTGACTTCAAACACATTGTGGGCAAGCGTTAATTTTTTGGGGCAAAACAGTGTCCAAAGACATGTTGTTTTTGTGTCCACAGTGGAGCTCCGGACCTTATATATCCAGGAACTTCCTTATATGAACACATTTCGTGAATGCATCTTGAAAAAAATCGGACCGACGCATGCACATTTCCAGTACAACGCAAGGAAATTAATGTCTTTAAAGTCCGTTTTACTATGAGGTATTCTTCGAGAAAATTAAGTAACGACAAGGTTATAACCACAGCTTGCAACTTTTGAAGACAAATTGCCTGTTCTTCCCAGGTCATAAGTGGAAACATTTTATTTTTAGGCAAGAAAATATTTGAAATCCCGCCATTTTTTCAAACCCGGCCAGGGGACCTGGGCAAAAAAGTTCACGCATGCTCATTACGTTTTTCCGCCCTGAACACTGGGACGAGGTTGTTTTTTTTCCTGAAAAGCCTGGCACTAGAAAGGGTGCGTTGCATCATAGGATTCGTGGAACAAAAAGTTTAAAGCACTCACCCTCCGGGAGGTACTCTGGGAATTCTTGATGGGGGTGTGCCGCCCCGTTCTCCAAATCCTAACCCTATATCAGACCTAAAAAGGTCATTTTTCAGATCTGACCTCTAAAATGCATACCCGTTTTCAGACCTGGCCTCTAAGAAATTATGTCGCCATTACTTCGATCAAAACAGCAACAAAAACGATTTCTTAAAATCCATTTCCAATTCTTTCTTACTCATTTGGAATTGAAACCATAAATACGTTCAGTACCGTAAAATTCTGAAAATAAGCCCTTCCATATATAAGCCCCCCAAACTCGTAACGCAAAAACCCCTCCGTTAAATCGCCTCTCCAAATATAAGCCACCCGGGGCTTGTACTTGGAAAATTGCCCTCAAATACAGAGTAAAACACAGGAAAACAAAGGTAAATTTACTTCCAACTATAAGGCTAACCCAATCGATTTCGCGAAACGCAAATTTCCCTCCGTAGATAAGCCCCTCCAAAAATAAGCCCCTCAAAAAGGGTCTTTGAAAAATATAAGCCTCGGGGCTTATTTTCGGAATTTTACGGTATGATTAGGCGTATGTGTGACCTTAGGATTGTGCCCTGTTCACGTTGTGAGCTTCGACCGTGCTCGTGATATTATAGTACGCGCCTCTCACTCGACTGTTTATTAACCAAACGCGAACGCTTCTGCAAGTAACAACAGGATATTGTGTTCCCTTCAATTTTTTCTGACGTGGAATTTAAAAAGGACAAGTAACAGGTATGTATGAGAAATGTACGTAATCACCTTTCATTTTTCGGTGAAGTTAAGAAATTTTGCTCTACTTTCAGCGTTTTAGAACTGAAGCATGTGTTCCTTCTTCATCTTTATCATTCTTCTGAGATTTATTTGGTTTCAGTTGTTTGAATATACTTTTTAATGGTAAAGCTTCCTTATTTATTGCAGCAGTTCTTAGTGACTAGGTCTAATCATAACAAACAACCTCTAATTTCTCAGAGTATCACTGCTTATCATGTAAAGGTCATGAGATAATTTAGAGAGTATATTCGATGATCCCTAAACAAAACCGTCATCGTTTTGTTAAGAGCCACATGCAATATCGACAACCGGGTGGAAATATACATTATCAGGGAAAGAAATGTAAAAAATATCACCTTTCAAAGTAGATTTGTTTTTAACGTTTTTCTGCAGCTGCTAATTAGTAACTGGTTAAAGCTAATTTCTTGGGGATTTTAGCTACTGTAGGGGTAGAACATATATAGAGGTACCCGTTTGATTTATCCCTCCCTCTCCGCTACTATCTACCAAACACTGAACTTGGACACCAGCAACTGTTTTTTTTTTTTTTTATCGCACAGAAAAAAAGTGCTCTAGACAAAATGCTCCAAGTGACGGACGCATTTGATGATGGTATGGCATATAAGATTTGTTAACGGTATCAAGAGGCAACAATTCAGCCTCACTACCATCTGTCCATGATTACTTTCCCTCCCCCTCCCCCGGAGAATTAAATGGGTACATGATTTTTATCACTAGCTTAAAATGAGAAGTCGATGCAATCGATTTGTTGTCCTTTACCCATTCTCGTCCCCAGA